GAATATCCGCCGTTCAGGGTAGGACCAGAATGTCTCGAGACTCTGGCCAATAGGTTTTATCCACCGTCAACAGCGTGAGGCTTTCCAGTCAGATCTCACTTTCCTAATCTCTAACCCTCGATGGCTTATGGTGTTCAACGGCCCGTCACGCTTATCCATCCTTATGCTAATACAAGCATTACTCCAGACTCAAGAAGGTCCTTTCCATCAATCGCTACACCGGAATCGGCACTCGTGCCGCCGTCGGCGACATCGATCATCCTCTCGTTAATCAGCCCACTGCTCCCAGCATCACCGAGCTTAATGACTTCTTCCGCGAAGAGGGCGTCGACCTATCCGTTAGAGCATGCAAGAAGGCCATAGAAGAATGGGGTGGGAATGTGGATGAGATTACACATGTTGTCTCTACGACATGCACGAATTCTGCCAACCCTGGCTTCGATCACTACGTTACCAAAGAGCTGGGCCTACAGGCCAGTGTGGAAAAGATATTGCTACACGGCATTGGCTGCTCGGGTGGACTCGCAGCAATACGGGCAGCCGCAAACCTGGCACTGGGGTCATCGTTTCGCAAGAAGCCTGCACGAGTGTTGGTCTTAGCTTGCGAAGTATCGAGTGTAATGGTGCGGTCAGAGTTGGATTCAATCGACAAGGAGCAGAAGACTCGCATCGGAGTCTGTCTCTTCAGCGATTGCGCTTCGGCTTGCGTTCTGAGCAATGGTATTGGGGAAGAACATGACATTCCCACGCCGGTCTACGAGATCCTGGGCTGGAAGCATGAGATACTGGAGGATACGGATAAAGATTTGGGCTTCGATGTTGATCCGTTTGGTTCGTACAGTATTCATGGTTGAGGTAGATTCAGTATATCCCGAAAGCTAATTTTCTCAAGGCTGGAAAGTCGTCCTCACGCCCCGCGTACCAGCCGTGGCAGCCGCTGCAGTATCTCCAGCCTTTCAAGACCTCTTGGAATCGATCCCAGCATTGCACACGAACCGTAGTTCCCCCGTGGCCAGCGACTTTGACTGGGCGCTCCATCCCGGAGGTTCAACGATCATTACTGGCGTTGAACAAGCGATGAACCTGACTGTAGACCATCTAAGAGCAAGCTACGAGATCTACGTCAATTGTGGTAACAGTTCTAGCGCGACGATAATGGCAGTCATGGACCAGTTGAGGAACATGGGGGAGGGCAGGGAGCATGTGGTTGCTTGTGCGTTTGGGCCAGGCATCTCGCTGGAGATGATGATACTACGGAGGCCAAAACCGACAATAGACGGTCTTCTATCTGAAGAGGTCGACTGAGTTACATGAGATGATACTTGATCGGAATGAATAGTGGCTTCGTACGATCTTCTCGTACGGCTTCCCTTTGCAGTCTTAGCATCTCAGCGAGTCCATACCATAGATTATATACATGATGTGCCATAGAATTGCACTTGCTGCTGTTGCCAGGGAAAAAGCACTTTGTCGCCGCGCGTGTGCAGCTTCCTAAGACCCCTTTCACTGCAACTTCTTCCCTCCCCCTTGCTTGATTCCAATAAAGTAATTCATCGTCCCCCCCGTCCGCGTATGCACCTCCCTCCCAGTCTCAAATCTCCACCCCTCCATACTAGCCCCACACTCTCTAATCAACCCCAACACCTCCCCCTCCCTCCTCGTCCTCAAGCAACTGATCACCCCGTCAAATACCAACACGAACGGCACCACCGGCACCACATACGTCCAGAACAGCAATCCCCAATCGCCCCAAAACCACCACCAACTCCCCGCCCACAATAGCGGGAACATTCCTAGTATCGTGATTATACTGCCCAAGTCACGGCCTTGCAGCTCAAAGATCGCAAAGCCGGAGGAGTGTGTGAGGGTGTTGTGCAGGATGCGAGTGGCCAAAGGGTTGGGGAAATGGTGGAAGGCGAGAGAGAAGAGGCGGAAGATTTTCTTGTCCTGCTCTTGCGTGCCGGCCATCGAGAGCAAGTCGTGCGGGGCATTGGCCGCGTCGACGGGGGACGGGACGTAGTGTAGGTCTTTGCTCTTGTTGCTGGCTCTCACCCACTCTGGTAGATGAGGGTGTATATCCGTCATCACAAAATCCACCCTTCCTCCTCGCCCTCCAGATCCATCCCCGTTCACAGGCCCGTTCGCCCCCGTATGCCCGTTCCGTACTAGTATATTTCCTCCATCGCTCAACTTGTTGAAGGCTTTGTTCACCTCCCGCTCTATGTACGGCGTGGGACCCCCGGCACCTGAGCAGAAATCGACGAATGTGTAGTCGGTAATGGAGGGGCCGAGGACGGATTGGAGCGTGCGGGCAACGAGGGAGGCGGGGGGTGCAGGCTGGAGGATGGGGGCTTTATACCCCCAGAGGAAGGTCAGGACTGCTTGGACGGAGGCGCGGAGAGGGGCGGGAAACCTAGGATTGGGTTTGGTATTAGTGCTTATTGGTGATCACGGGCGGGGTGGGGTGGAGGTTCGGTACCAAGACTGGTCGTCGATCTCGAAGAGACGGAGTGGAGGTATCGGGAGGGGAATGGCCATGGCGATTCAATTGAAAAGACTGGAGAAGGCTATTGAGAATATGGCCCTGTCTGTAGATGTGGACTTCTTCGGACAAGAGTCATCAAAACTTTTAGGGTTTTGCCGAGATCAGTCGCGCGTTCGCGTTCCCAAGATTTGCTTGCCAAGAACACAATTCTCGAAGTCGTCCTACACCTTCTACTTTTCTCCACTTCTTACAGCCCACCAAAGATGTCTCTTTCTATGCCCAGTGCGCCTAATGGCGGTCTTTTCAAGCAAGGTTATCAAAAGTATGTGATATTCGGCGCCCCAATATAAGAACTCCACTAAGACCTCCAACTAATTACCCTCAAAGCTACGAATCTGAAGACGGTGCTGTGATACGAAACATAGAAGCATGTCGAGCCATAGCCCAAACCGTCCAAACATCTCTCGGTCCTTATGGCCGCAACAAAATCGTCATCAACCATCTGCAAAAAATGATTCTGACCTCCGATGCCGCCTCCATATTACGAGAGCTCGATGTCGTCCACCCTGCAGCGAAGCTCATAGTAATGGCTAGTCAACAGCAAGAAGCGGAGATGGGTGATGCTACGAATCTGGTCATTGTGCTCTGTGGAGAGATGCTGAAGAAGGCGGAGGAGCTGCTGAGGATGGGTTTGAAGACTAGCGATGTGGTGCAAGGGTTCGAGAGGGCACAGAAGGAGGCGCTGAGGTGTCTGGATCGTACGTCTCTAGATAATCTCACGGGCTACTGCTCCAAGATGGGAACAAGTTGCTGACGGTACTCAGAGCTTGTCGTCGACTCGGTAAAAGACCTCCGCTCCCACCCCGAACTTGCAAAAGCCATCCGTACCGTAATCGCCTCCAAACAGTCCGGCTCCGAAGAATTTCTCGCCGACATGGTCGCAGAGGCAGTCCTCGCCGTTCTACCCAAGCAGCCTGTCAACTTCAACGTCGACAACATCCGCGTCGTGAAGATCATGGGCGGTAGCCTCGAACAGTCGAAAGTGGTAAAAGGCATGGTCTTCGGCCGCGAGCCCGATGGAAGCATCAAAAAGGCCAAGAATGCTAAAGTGGGCGTCTTCTCGTGTCCGATTGATACAAGTCAGACGGAAACGAAAGGAACGGTGCTGTTGCACAATGCGAAGGAGATGATGGATTTCACCAAAGGGGAGGAAAGCCAACTGGAGACCATCATCAAAGAATTGCACGACTCGGGCCTGCGCGTAGTCGTAGCAGGCTCAACCGTGGGAGAATTAGCACTCCACTATCTCAATCGCTTTGGTATTTTAGTCGTCAAAGTCCTTTCGAAATTCGAACTCCGCCGTCTCTGTCGCGTCGTGGGCGCTACACCTCTTGCTCGTCTGGGCGCCCCTATGCCGGATGAGATGGGGAAAGTGGACGTAGTCGAAACGCTGGAGATAGGCGGAGACCGTGTTACAGTATTCAGGCAGGAAAACGACGCTACTCGAACAGCTACGCTGGTCATAAGAGGGGCTACCCAGAACCACCTCGACGACATTGAGAGAGCGATTGACGACGGCGTTAACGTGGTGAAAGCTATCACGAGAGATCCGAAACTAGTGCCTGGAGCTGGGGCTACGGAGATGCAACTGATTGAGCGTATATCTGCCTTTGGTGAAAGGACGCCTGAACTGTCACAGTATGCTATCAAGAAGTACGCGGAAGCTTTCGAGGTCATACCACGTACGCTTGCCGAATCCGCGGGTCTGGACGCCACGGAAGTGTTGGCAACGCTATATGCTGCCCACCACAAAGCTTCCTCCAACAAAAAGGACGAGGATGATGACGACGACGACGACGAAGACGAAGACGACGAGCCTGATTGGACGATGGGTGTGGACGTGGAGAACGACGATGGTTCAGGAACGTTAGATGCTAAAGAAGAGGGGATCCTGGATCTGCTGGTGTCAAAGCAGTGGGCGATCAGGCTGGCGACGGAAGCGGCGAGGACGGTCTTGAGTGTGGATCAAATCATCGTGGCGAGGCAGGCTGGAGGGCCGAAGCCACCGGGCGGGCAGAATCCGGATTGGGATGAGGATTAGAAAATTTTGAGGAGAAATGTGGAGATGGAGCAATGTATCAAAAGCTCATAGAGAAAGTAAGCGTTTAGGTGATCCTGTGCTTCCTGTTGTGAATGCCCGTCTTAACATGGAGAGACACCCGAATTATCTACATGGGCTTTGCAAATTATGTGGACCCTCGATCCGTCGAACCAGGGGAGAAAACGGAAGAGATGACGTGAGACGGAGATTTTGGAAGGGTATCGATACAGCACACGTTATGGCTAGATGCTCTAATTGATATCCTACGGCCTCCACAGATTAGCACCGAAGCCCGTTGGCAAACCCAAGCATGCGACAAGTGCAGTCGACAAAGCGATCTTCCCCATCAGGTATTCACTCCGAATACCGCAGTAGACGCATCCCTCTCGCAGCAGACTTCTCTCTCAAACACGATCAGCCTAGACTGTATATCAGCAACGGCGCCCTGGGGGAGGGGATCTCTCAGCGGACTCACCGGAAACCTTGTACTTCTCCTGCAGCACTAGCACCATACTCCATACAAAAACCAGCCTGCAACTCCGGTCAGTGGTGGCATCTGCAGACCATCTTTCCAGAACCCCTGATGCTTTCCGTCCCAAATAGAGTGGAGGGGTGATTTACTTACAGCTCAATCGCAGCGAGCACAACCGCACAAATCCACTCCACGTACGGCGGCCTATGAAAGAGCAGCCTGAAGTCCTTGCCCTTGGGTAGCAGCATCGTGACGAAGGCGGCACACCAGAGTGCGATGAGGAGGAGTTCGAAGAGTAGGCGGAGGAAATGGAACAAGTAGGTGGAGAGCGTATTCGAGAGCGTGAAGTCTCGGTTGAGAATGTCGGGTATGGCGATTAGGATCGTGAGTAAGGAGGCAGAGACTGGTCGAAAGTCAGCAGCTTTCAGGAAGGGAGCGGCCGATCTGTGGCGGCCTTGCTCCCTCGGATGCTCATTAAGACAGATAGATACGGAGAATGATGTGTAACTGTTGACAAGACCTGGTGGTTGGGAGCGGTGAATGGAGCAGTAGACCAGACACCAAACCTCGCTAGATTGACTGATAAAGAGAAGTAGGTACGCGAGTGGAGGATAGAGGGGGACTACCCACTGCCAAAGCCCAACGGCTGATGAAGGTTGAGCCACCAGCCGTGGTGAATACCACAATAGCATAGCAGTATCAGATAGATAAGTGCGAGCACGACTTGGAGGATGCGGACATTGAAGAGGTAGGATGGCGAGATGATCTGAGCAGGCTTGAAACGCATTTCGTAGTGGTGGTGGATGTTCGCTGGCCGTCGTGAGGTGGATCCAAGGTCAGTGTAGCCAGTGTATTCTGTTGGGTATGTAGGAAAAGTCCATCCCCTGGGTACTCTGGGATGTAAGAAGCGTCTGGGTGAGGAGTAGCGTTTCGGCGAAGGGGAACGTTCGGCTGAAGAGTCGCGAGAGCTGGGTGGTGGTTTACGAATAGGAGTGCCCTACGTGTGCCGATTAGGGTGGTCTTTCTCTCGTTGGAGAGATCAACACATTGGGAATATCCTCAGGACACATTCAAAAGTTTTTATCAGATCTGAGGATTCAGGAGGCTTGAGCAACCAGACACACAAGACTTACATAGTAATATTTGTGCATAGGTCGTTGAGTCTCTACAAGCTAAGAACTCAATTGTGTTACTGCAGGCCGGAGAAGCAATATTGGGTAAGGAAAACAGGTTCTTCCCCAGCTGATGCCATCACGCAAAGATCCGGGGCGGCAGTCACGACAGCATTTGAGGCTTGAAATACGAATCATCACGTCGTTGCAAATGCACCTTATGTTTTCTTGAGCACAGTCAACGCATGATACTGCAGCAAGTGACAATGCCCTCATCTCAAAGCGTCCACTATCCGTGGCGTTCGTTTTCAAAGTAGTGTTTGTGATCTTCTTTAATATCCATTCAACAGGTTCAGATCTCTTTTGGTGGAGGCCATTTGGAATAAAGCGAGTTCCCATCTGGGCACTCTGACCAGCTTTCTCTTCTCTTTTATGAAGTTCGGGAGCTCTCTCGGCCCCGACCGCTCTATTCTTTCTTGCTTGCTTGAGAAGTGGTGCACACGCCTTCTACCGAAAAGCTGAAGTATTAATAATATTGAAGTTCTGCATCAGGTACCTGAGACGGAAGAGGAAGGCGATACGCCCTAGAAAAACCCCACCGAGCCCCCCCCCCCCCTGCAACCTCCAATTTCCCCGAGGAACGCCGCCTCATCCCTCCCTCACAGCCGCCAGAACACTCCGCCCGCCAAGCGCATATGGGACTGGAGTCTGGACAACCTCGGGCATGAGCTCTCCCATTTGCTCCTTGTACCTAGATACCACCCAGGTACCGATGTACCATAAAACCGTGTACCTGGTCCCTGAACATACCATTTCCTTCTTACATACCTCAGCCTGCGATTGCGTCTTTCCTTGGCTTTCTTGCTCAAGGATTGCAAAAGCGATCAGCTTGAGGAACTTGGATTGAGGATCAGAGGTGAAAGACTCCATTGTTGGAACCTTCGTTGCTTTCGATTCATTGTTCTCTCCTCTGAGACACGGCAATCTTTCCGGAGCGACATCATCAGCAGACCAAGACAGTCACCGCATCACCTGTCACGCCCATACACATACATCAGCACTCGATCTCGGGCACGATCACGCTCTACAAGTCAGCTTTTATGGGATATGGACTTCAAGTACAGGAACAACGGCCGAATGGCCTCAGACTCGGATCACGATATGTTTATGCATGCCAGACGCTCTTCGGGTCCAGTGACCCTTGGGGCCCGCCTCTCTCGAAAGAAAGAATCGATGCAGTATAACCATCCAAAACCACCCTTAACGCCAAATACCACTTCCTCCATGCCACAAGCCATACCAAATCCTCTCTTGCCTTCCGCGCCTGCTTCCCCTCCAACACCTGCACCGAGCCCAACCCCACATCAGAGATCACCTACTTCTTGGCACCTTGCCCTGGATGACGTTGAGGATCCAATCCTGGAGGAAGCAAGAAATGCATTTAGAGGATTGGATATTACGGCCAAGGAAAATTGGCTGAGATCACTGGTGGATGAGTGTGATAATCATACCTTGAGCTTCTTGCACCAGATTGTCAGCCCGAGACTGAAAAAGGATCCGTTCAAGGCTTTGCCAAACGAACTCTGCTTTAGGGTATGACAGTCGATGGTATGTGTTTGACACGGCATTTTAGCTGACCTGTCACAGATACTCGAATTTGTCGATGACCCCAAAACCTTCGTTCGTGCCTCGCAGGTTTCAAGAAGGTGGCGGGAGATTGTGAGCGACGACCAAGCTTGGAAAACGTTGTGCGAGAAACACGCATACCGCAGGATGTCCAGCGATTCGATCGGCTCAAGCATGAACAACTCGACCGCGTCCGTCAGCCAAATACTCTACAGTCAACATTTGCGCTCAGCATCGCCCAGTCGTATACTTGACAACATGCTTGCTATCGATGAGAATCCGGAAGTTGTCGCGACTCCTTATGACCCGGTACCTACTACAGGCTCTCGAAAGCAAAGGAAACCAAGACCAAACACCACTCACCGATCACACTTCAAGCACAGATATTTGGTGGAGTCGGCATGGAGGAAAGGAGGTCTCATGACAGCGAGGCACATCCACCCTGATCAAGGCGTAGTCACAAGTTTGCATTTGACAAAGAAATATATCGTTGTCGCCCTTGACAATGCCAAGATTCATGTCTTCAACACGAGGGGAGATCATCAAAGAACCCTGCTAGGACATCAGATGGGCGTTTGGGCGATGGTCCCTTGGGAAGATATACTGGTTAGTGGTGGATGTGATCGAGATGTCAGAGTATGGAACATGGCAACTGGGTATGTCGAGCAGGGAGCGTCGCCAGATCTAGCGCTGACTCTCTTACACAGGGCGAGCGTGCACACCTTACGAGGTCATACTTCCACTGTTCGCTGTCTCAAGATGTCGGATGCGAGAACAGCAATCTCTGGCTCGAGAGATACTACGCTACGAGTGTGGGACTTGACTACAGGTGCATGCACGAACGTTCTCATGGGCCATCAGGCTAGCGTTCGCTGCTTGGAGATCCATGGAGATCTTGTTGTATCAGGAAGCTACGACACTACAGCAAAGATATGGAGCATTTCAACTGGACAATGTCTACGTACCTTGCAAGGCCACTTCAGCCAGATCTACGCCATTGCCTATGACGGGCACAGAATAGCGACAGGTAGCTTGGACACGAGTGTCAGGATCTGGAATCCGCAAGACGGGTATGACACCTGATCTCCCCATCTTGGCCTGTGGATGCAGTAACTGACTAATTGATCCACACAGTACCTGTCAAGCAATTCTCCAAGGGCATACTTCCTTGGTTGGTCAGCTTCAAATGCGTGGTAATACACTTGTGACAGGAGGCTCTGATGGATCTGTTCGCGTCTGGTCACTCATCACCAACGCTCCCATCCACCGTCTTGCGGCCCATGACAATAGCGTCACTTCTCTCCAATTCGACGACGCACGGATCGTCAGTGGTGGCAGCGATGGCAGAGTCAAGATCTGGGACACAAAGACGGGAGGGCAGATCAGAGAGCTAAGTCAACCGGCAGAAGCTGTGTGGAGGGTCGCATTCGAGAGTGAAAGGTGTGTTGTGATGGCTAGTAGAGCAGGGCGGACTATAATGGAAGTGTGGGATTTCACGCCACCGCCCGAGGACGGGGATGGACAAGCTGGGGAAAGATCGGTCGAAATAAAAACGCCAGTGGGACCAATTGTGGACGAGGACATGGCGGATGTGGAGGAAGACGAGGACCACAAGAGCGAGATGATCGATGCTTATAGCACGGGTGGAGAGGAGAGTGAAGGAATGACTGATTGAGAGTGAACATGGCTCTTGGATGGCGCCGGATCTAACGATGACGATGTTGGATTCGACGAATAGGTCTTTTGGATGGCTATGCACACATAAGTCACAACATAGAGCTCATGCACAGTATCATGTGAGGAAGCATACGGATAGTGTGATGGGCATTACTTCTGGAGTTCCCGCAGAGCAGCATTTTTGGGGAGGCGGTTTGGTATGCATATCGTTCTCACGTCCCGGGACCTCCTTGGGTAGTCACTCTACATCCGTATAGATTTGACGAGGTGGAAGTCCTCCAAATCACATTTGACGGGTGTCTCGTTGATTCAATTTCCAGTGCTCGATTCATGGACTCTATCCCTACAGCTAAAGGCTTGTATAGCCCCCGTGCCGAACTCCCACAGCCGGCCCAACATTTCCCAACACCCTCGGTCGCGTTTGGCCATTGATGCCTTTTCTTTAAAAAATCTTTTTCTTTTCCACACTGTCTGTTATACATACACGTATAGTACTACGCCCACTCTGATCCGTACGCTCCTACCCTCTACAAACGCTACACAATATCGTGCGACAACGCCATGGCACCTCCCCTCCCCGCCGCCTCCCCACCGCACACGCGCCAGCTTCTCTCTCTCCCCGGAAATGGATCCGGAGCCGCGCCCCCTGCCTCGTGAAGCGTGGGCATCTGCTTCCCCTGCGGATGTACTGTACGTGTTGAACGAGGCTCACAGCGCCCTGGTCAAGTTACGGTCACGAGTCGCGATGGCGATGCTAGGCACGGGGGTGCTACGTGCGGTCTTTTTTCTTTCGTCTTGTCGCTCGTGCCGGTGACGAGGGGAGGTGGATGGGAGGGGTTCGGTCGGTTTGTTGTTGGTGGTCTTGAGCTGAGGGCTCGGTTTGATTCAACTGGACCGGATCTACATGTTTAAATCAACCAAGATGATGGTACATTTTATTACGCACCCACGGCAATGTCTTCCACGGCCGGATTTCGATAGTTGGAGATTATGCGAACACGCACTCTTTCACGCTTGCCTGTCTGGCTCCGCTCGATTCCTTGTCGTTAGCTCGGTTCGGTATGTAAGATATCTCTGCTTCCATTCGGGGATGATGTGAAGCCAGTTGTCTCCATGAAACGAACTCGACCTCACCGATTATAGCTGCTCCATGCCCTTTCAGCGCTCACATACTCTCATCCTCGAAGTGTCAGAACTGCTACCGTCTATTTCCAAACACGGTCGGTTCTCCACTAAGCGTCTCTTTAGCGTCGAATCATTTTTGACTGTTGACATTATCCTTCGCTCATCTGAAGCGCAGAGAATGTTTCCGGTCTCTTGCTCCGCTGCTAAGAGTAGACTGGCTTCTGCAACAGCGTTCGGACACTGCTAAAGCCGACGTCTGGAGAGGCCTGGGAGGCGAGGACCATATATTGGTAGACTGCTTAACCATAACCGTGACCGCTGCCATAGCTGTGAGAGCCTTTCCCTACTCAGGCGTCATTGCAGAGGGCGACTCGTTCTGCATCCCGGAAGCAATCCCCTACGAGTCGGGCAGTCGTATTCACCAACGCATCTAGTAACGGGGTCGCATTCCAGCATGTGTTTGCAGACCTCGATGCCGAAAACTTTTCTCGCCCCGCTGGACCAGGAGTGTACCTTTTTCGTCGCGCACGGTCAGGAGTTCTGAAAACTGCGGTATGGTAGGGAATACTTCCAGTCCTGATCATCCGCCTCGAGGAACCTAGAAATCGCATATTCCTGGAAGCGCTGGATATCGGTGGCAGCAAATGCAGACAGAGACTTGCCCTTCAACGGCGTCACGGAGAAGTGGCGGTCCTCACGAGGTGCGGCATGCTGGATTCGAAATGGAACCGTCTTCCGAGGCTCGGAATCCGGGAAGCGACTTCAGGACGGTGACCAGCAGAGGACATACAAATTCGCACCCCTCCGACCGCACCTGCTCGAAATGAATCCGGAGATGATGTTTCTCGGGGTAGTGCTTTTCCCAATCCCGGTCGGAAGGTTGATATCTCATCGACTATACCCGGCTGGTGAAACAGCTGGAATCGCAGTGACGCGCGCTGAAAACGCATGTTCTTTTCCGCCGGCCGAAAACAGGGGTCCCTTGCATGTTGAGCACAGAGCTCTTTATCGCAGGCAATGTCCTGTAGGATTTCCACAGGTCGGCGCAGCTTTGCGTCCATGCATTTCGGATGAGAAATGACAAGTCACGAAAGGGTTGAGCCCGTCAAGACTCATCGGATGGGACGATCGGGCTGATAATGCGATGGCATAACTGTGTTGGCGATTCACCTCTGACTAGATACGTACCCCGGCAAATCGATCTCGAGACTTTGTTCAAGCGGGGCAGAATTGTGGAGTCGACGGTGAACGGGTATAGGTTGGAAAGCTTTGATGGATGGTCGAGGGCTTCCATGATGGTGAGATGGGGTTCTGGGGGTAGCTTATCGATTTCAGAAAAGAGCTGTTGGGGGGTCAAATGCCTGTAACCTTGCACGATGGCAAATATCACGTATCACACACTCGGTTGGATCTGTTGATGAAGGATGCGAAGGCTCTTGATAGCATCCTTTACAATTTCGCGTGGATGACGCGGTATTTCAATTTCTACATTCTATATTTAC